TCAAATAGCATATCTACAGAATTACTGGTCTAAACACTAAAACTCATTTTCTTTTCTCATGATTCAAATTATTCCAAAAGAAACTCATATTGAAGGCTTAATACCTTTAAAATAAAAGGTAAAAACCAATTTCTAGAATATCTAAGAGCAGATATTTCTGAGCAGACTTAACTAACAATGACAAGAACACCACCACAATGAATAAACATATTGAAAATGCTGCTTCTGTTTTTGACCTGGCATTCTGCAATCTTATTTAATAACAAATTTTTACTGTAGGTTCTTTATGCACATACGCTTGAGCAAAATTAGTCCAAAAAAATAAAAGCCTCATTTGGAGTGATAGTTTAGGGAGAAAGCGCTACCCGTGAATAGTGAAGGAATAAGGAAAGGGAAACAGAGATAAAGCCAAAGCTAGCTCCTCCAGTATGCCATCTAAAAAGAAGGCAAAAATCAGAGACTGAGGTAGAAGGTAGAGCCTGATCCCAGCACTGCTGCATGCCAGGGCTGTGGAAGAAGGACACAAAAAAGCCTGGAAACCAGCAACCCCACCAGAACTGTGATATGGTGGCAGCAGTGACAAGCAGATTACAGAAGTGATAGGATCAGAGTCTAGCAAACCTATTCAAGAATCCAAGAGAGGGCAAAATCTGCCCTGAAACAAACTACCAATCCATAAACTGAGGCTGGAGACACTAAGCAGAAAACATGATACCATATGACACTGCAAAAGAAGTATTAAGTAGACCCTCCAGAAAAAAAGAATGGCTTACCCAAGAAGACTCCAAAGTGGATGGAAGAAATGAAGCAAGAGATACAAAATGAAATTAAAGCTCTTTTGGAAAAAGATTGGAGGGAATAAACAGTTTAAAGCAGAAGGCTGAAAACATGACCTAAGTAGCAGACTTCCCAAAAAAAGGAAAGAAGTAAATGGAAATCAATGATTCCATGAGACAAGAAATATATACAGTCAAAAGTTTACTGAAAAATTGGAAGAATATGTGAATTAATCCATCTACCACCAAAAACAACTAACTAAGAGAAGAGGTCAAGGAAAGATAATTTACCAATAATTAGACTCCTTAAAAACTATGGCCAAGCAAAAAACTCGGACACTATATTTTAGGCAATCAGAAAACTGCACAGAACCATTAGAATTAAATGGTAAAGTAAAAACAGAAAGAGCTCACCAATCACCTCCTGACAGAAATCCTAAATTGAATACACCTAGGAACACAATGTTACAGTCAAAATTCAGAGCTTCCAGGTCAAAGAAAAAGATTTTTTTAAAAGGTTTAAGATCTGAATTCCTTTTTGTGAGATTAGATAGATTTTTTGTTAGATAAGTAAAGTTAAGATAAGACACAGCCCCAGCTTAGGCAATGAGAATCACAAGAATTACACATATTATTTATCTCTGCATGACACTTTTACAAAAACTAACCATATGCTAGGGCAAAAAAACCCTAATAAACAAATTCAGAAAAGCAAAAATATTAAGCATACCCTTTACTGATCACAACACAACAAAAACTTTTTAATCAACAAAGGGAACTTGGAAAAAGGATTCTAACTTAAATGGTAACCAAAGAGATCAAGGAGGAAAATGGCTCATATGTACAAAGAAATTTACAGAACCTATTTTTATGGCAGCAAAAACAAAACAAAACAAAACAAAAAAAACAAAAAAAAAAAAACCTAGAAACTAAGGGGGCATTGATCTACTGGGGAAATGACTAAATAAATTATGCTATATGAGTGTAAATTAATATTACAGGACCAAAAGAAATGGCAAAATAGATGGCTTCAGAGAAAACTGGTATGGTCTTATATGAACTGATGCAAGCAGAACCATGGGAACCAAAAACTCTCATTACAAAAAGCAAAAGGGAGCTCGAGAGAGAGAGAACAAGAGAGAGAAAGAAATTAATGAAATGGGCAGGCAATTAAAAAAGAAAAAATTTTTTTAAAAAATTTAAAAACCAAAGCAAACACACATACGCAAAGAAATTTTTTAAAAAGATGAATTCATAAAATTAATAGCTTTATTAAAAAATCTGATATTTTTTAAAAGGAGAAAAACCAAGTTACCATGTCACTCCCCTACTTAATCAACTCTTATGGCTACCCATTTACCTCTAGGATAAAATATAGACTCCTTTATCTAGTTTTTAAAGTACTTTAGAACCTGGAACTCTAATCCTACCATATTGGAATTCTGTTTTTCATCCATAACACATCTCTGGAATGCACTTCGTCTTTACTTCTGCCTCAAAAACGTAGCTCTCCTCCTTGAAGACTCAGTTCAGGTTCCATCCTTCTACATCAAAGGTTCCCAAACTTATTTGGCCTGCTGCCTCCTTTTTAAAAAAATTACTCAATGCCACCCTGGAAATCTACTTTCTTTAACCCTTTAATGGTTTTTTAAAAAAAAAAATGTGTCATTTCAAAAAATATAAAATATATATATTTTTAAATGACACATGCAAAATTTAATAATTTATTATAAATTTGTGGGTTTTTTCCTGCATTGAAATTTCGATGACACAATATCATGTCATGTGACCGTACAGTTATCGTATTGTAAACACGTGATTACGCACGTACATCCCTGCCAATGCATGTAGAACTTCCCACCTGCCAACACTTGCTTGTTAAGAACTGTGGGCAGACTTGACCACTGATAGGTTATAACTTGCATTTTGTGTGTTTATGTAGAAAATAATGTAATTAATTGCTGCGACTTTAACTCTACTATATACCAGATGAAACATGTATGAATGGTTTTTCAAAATTTTCTTACATTTTCTTCTTTCCTTATGCTTCTACTGCCCCCTTAATTTTATTCAACACCTCCTCCCAACTGCACCGGAGGCTACTACTGCGGCCCTCGGCCCCCCATTGTTCCAGCACCTTCCTGGAGGGCAGTACTGCCCACTTTGGGAACCCGTGTAAAAATCTCTATGAAGCTTTTCCTAATCCCCCTTACTTGCTAGTGACCTCCTTAACAAACTATTTCATATATATCTATTTTGTAATTGTTCATTTTATATTTATGTCATATATATATTTATACATTTGTTCTTTTGTCCACTAGCTTATATGTTCCCAACAAGTAAAGACTGTTTCACATACAAGGTTTTTAATGCTTGTTCACTGACTGACTTCAGAAAAATGATGACGCATGCTTCCACAATCTCTCGGCAGAAAGGTGACTAACAGTGCATAATGAGACGCAGATTTTCAGGTTTGTTAACGTATTGTTTTGTTTCACTTGGCCGTATTTATTTCTTCCAAGGAACTGCTTCTATTTGGGGGGCTTGTGAGAGATGATTAGTAATGATAGTGATAAAAGAGAAAAAAGAAAAGTATGCCAAAGGAACATTACAAAATTCTGCTATCATAATATTAAATGTAATGTACATTTAAAAAATTTAACTACATAATCGTTCACATTTCATATATAATCCTCTTTTCTGGTTTGGGTTTTGTTTGTTAATTTGTTTGGGTATACTGAAATGTCCATGTGTTAGGCTTAAGTTGATAATAAAAAAGAAATTTTTAGAAAATCACAGTGACAGTAGGGGTTGGGGTAGAGGTTGGGGGGTGGAGGAGATCTTCACAGCCTCTCTGATAGCCTAGATTCATATGCAACAATCACACATAAGCATGCCTCTGCTGTAAGAGATGATGAATAAAAGTAATCAGAGAAATAAGGCAAGATATGTATGAATTGATATGGAGAACTTATGCAAAGAAAAGTAAGCAGAACCAGGAAAACAATTTATATTGTGACCAAAATATTGTCAAGGAAAACACTGAAAGTCTTCATAATTCTGACTAATAATGGGCTGATGATGAAGCATGTCTTTTTTGTGTTGTTTTTGTTCAGGTATTTCAGTTATTTCTGACTCTTTGTGACCCTATTTGCGGTTTTCTTGGCAAAGATACTGGAGTGGTTTGACATTTCTTCTCCAGATCATTTTACAGATGAGGAAACTGAGGCAAATGGGGTGAATTGACTTTCCCAGGGTCACACAGCTAGTAAGTGTCTCAGGTCTTCCTGAGTCCAGGCCCAGTGCTCTATCTACTGTGCCATCTAGCTGCTTCATGTCTCTTGTATCTTGGCAAAAAGGTGGTGGACTACAGGTACAGAATGAGCTATATGCTTTCAGACATGACAAAAGTATGTGCTTATTTTGCTTAATTGTATTTGTTATAAGGGAAGACTACTGGTGTGAAGTAAGGGGAGTAATAGTGAAGTGACAATCATAGTTTTCAAAAGAGAAACAAAATTTTTTAAAACAAGAAAAAGATAAAAAGGGATTGACAAAAGCCTATACCCAAAGAGCAATGTGCCTTGCACCCTATGAAAAGGCAGAGGCATACAATCTCTAACTCTTCATCCAATTGTACTGTCTTTTTTTCCCAAGGGTACATGGAACCCAAAATTCACTTCTGATCTTCCTATTTCTTAGGATCAGAGTTGAGAATTATATGCAATTTTAAAATAAATACCCTGATGACACAACGGATGCTCTCTCTCTCCCTCTGCAATGTTTACTCCAAAGGAATGACTCTCTAACTGCCGAATTGCAAGCACTGTGATAATTGGGTAAAAGAGATATTTTTGGCTATATAGTGCTCTTGGTGTCTCTCAAATTATGTCATATAAACAATAACATTCTTCCACTTATTAATGCCAATCCAAAAATTATGACATAAGTAAATTATCTGACTTGATACTAAAGAAAACATATTTCATCAAAATACCTGCCAAAGCAGGGAAGAAAATAAGACAAATTTACAGAATAAGAAAAAAACCAAAATTGTATTTCAGTAGATAGTAACTACATGAACAGGAGAGATTTGCTTGACTTGGGCTTTTTTTTTTTTTGCCAATTACCAGAGTCAATTATTATTTACAAATGCTTTAGTCAAACAAGTTAATGGTCCCACTTATTTTTTAAAGCCCGCTTTAGCACAATCATGACACTTACCAGTAAGTACCAGCACCCTGTGATGTTAGCTCCATACCATCAACTGAATTGTAACTATCATCATCCATAATCTTAGAAAGACCAAAATCTGTGATTTTTATCTCTCCACATGCTGTACCATTTACTAGAAGAATATTACCTAAAAAGAACAAAAACACTATAAGTAACAAGGAACAAAGATTAAAAGAAAAATTCACACAAGTGACAAGGGGATAATTATACCAAAATTCGTACAAAAGTGAAAATGTGACTCCCTTAAAGAAAGCTATTAAGACATTTAAATGCCTGGTGGCAGATTTTTATTTTCCAGGTAAATGAATAAACAAGCTATCTATAGATCTGTCATTTCTCTGCCAAAGCAAAGTACAATTGTAAATTTGGTCAGAAGGCGTTAGATTTTCACATTAACTTTCAACAAATCTCTTTAAACCAAAAGGATTGTTTGGAGGAAGATTAAGGAAACACATAAAATGGAATCAAAACTAGTACAACAGTGACACCTAGTGCTCCTATGAGAAGTTTGAGAAATATGGTGAATATGATGCTAGAAAAAAAATCCCAGGACACCCAAAAGAAAAAGTCACTAAGTTACAATCCTATTTTGTGTTCTCTAGATCATGTTCTGACATTGAGGTATGCGATCTATGATGCAGATATCTGGAAAAAGACTAGAAATTAGAAAAAGTGGTGACTCTGGCTCAGGAAAGGAGGTGAATGGGAATTGCTCTATGAACTCCAAACAAAATAGCTACTGAAATATATATGGAGCCAAATGAAGATTTCTAAAGGAAATGTGAGTGGAAAAAAATAGTATACCACAGGATAGGGAGAAATACATCTAAGCTACATGTATTCTATCTCTCTTTGGTGATGAATGTAATGTCTCTGCCCTTTTGTAATGATTATTGAAGTTAGTCTGCTCTAGGCTGACTCAAACTAGGAATGCTCAGAAAAAGCACTACTGTTTAGACATTCCCCAAGAAGACCTAAAAATGGTAGAAAATGCTTCTAGAGAATAACAGGAAGAAGAAAGTTGGAGTCAGCTAAAGTTCCTTAATTACACCTCCATATCCAACTTCCCTGACCCTAAAAACAAATACTTAGTTTCAGTTTACCTAAGACCACCTGAATCACTTATGCTTAGCAGGGCACACAGGGACCTCTCTCCCAAACCCTACATCTCCAGCCAGGTATTAACAGGATTCTTTGGCTCTTGACAAATTATGTTTATAAAATAGAGGTTAGTTATTACAATCCCAAGAACAATAAGAAAATCCAACAGTTCTTCCATCTATCAGTGAAACCTACCTGGTTTAAGATCATAGTGAATGATGGGAGGTTTGATTTCATTTAAGTACTTTAAAGCATTCACAATCTGCATAATAATGGATCGGGCCTCTTTTTCTGACATTAACTTGTGCTGTTTAAGGTAGAAGTCCAGATCATTTCCCTCACAGTACTCTAACACTGTACAAAATCTAAAGGTAAAGAAATAAAAGGAAAACATTTATAAATATTTAACATTTCAATTCAATTCAAACACTAAATGATTAGTAGTAAAGTAAAATCATCTATTAAGACTTTTCTACAATTCAGAAGAATGGCTTCTCACTCCTTCTTCCATTTCTTCCCTCCCTTTCCTTGCCATTTCTTTGCTCATCACAAACCACAAGCCACCTATATTTTTATAGGAAGACTAACTTACAGAATCCTCAGGTCAAGAACGACCACAATCAAAGACATTGGACTCTTGATTCTGCTCCGAGGACTTCTCTGCAAGAAATTTTGCCTTGCCCACCTCTTCTGAACAGAGAGTCTAGGAATGTTTACATTGCCTGGACTCAAGAACGTTAATGCCTATGAACAAGACATTATTTGGCAGAGGTTCTTTCATAGATGCAGATAATTTCAGAGCATAAATATGGAAGTATGTGCATCTCTCACTGTTTTGAAGAACCTGATTTTTATCTTCAATAACACTGAGAGAGTGAATTTGGTTAAGCGGAAAAGGCAATGGATTAGGAATCAGGTAACCTGGGTTGTAGTGGTACCAGTTTGGCCAATAACATGACTATGTGACGCTAAATGAGTCACATTGAGTCTCAGTTTCCTTGTTTATAAAATGAGGGGCTGAGAGCAGATGAAGAGTATATGAACTTGAAATTGATATTAGTCACAATAACCTTGAATCTATGTCTAAAACAACCAGCCACAAAGCAGGATAAGAGAATTTCAGCATAATATGTAAAAAAACATGTCTTACTGATGCTTCTAAGACGGTACAATCAAAGCTTAGGAATTTTTCATTTCAAAATTTACACAATGTGGTGTTACTTCAGACAACTAACTTCTGGAATACATGAAAGGTATCTAGGTGTCTACAACAAATCAACCTAAAATGTTCCTGTATCTTAAGGAGTTATTTTTAAAAATCAGACAGGACATGGTAAGTACAAGACTACGATCAGTTAACGATTCATTTTATAAGCATTCAAAATTATCTCACTTGGTTGTTACAAATGAGATAATGTATATAAACTTGAAAGTATATATTTCAGTTATTACTATTATTCTCTTCTTAATGGCACAGCCTATCCATCAAATACTTACTAAGCACCTACTACAGGCTAGACACTGGATTATGCAATGAGGATATAAATACAAACGTGAGATAATCTGAGTCCTTAAGGGGATTACATTCTACAACAGGGAGTAGACAAGTAAATATAGCGGTGTGAAAGCGAGGTAGGCAGGGAAAGGAGATGGAAGTGGTCACTAACAAAAAGTGGAATCAAGAAAGCCCTTTTGAAGAATGTCACAGCTGAGCTGAGCTGAGCTTTAAAAGGAGCTAAGTAGATATGAAGAAGAGCAGTTCAGGCAGGGTGGAAAATCCAGTACAAATGCAGCATGCATGAGGGGGAATAATGTGGAAGAGTGTAGAAACAATGTAAATAAATAATATGAAGGACGTTCAATGCCAAATGGTGTATTTTAACTCTAAAGGCAATGCATGGACAGCCACTGAAGCTTCTTAAGTAATGACATGGTCAGACCTACTCTGTGTGAAAGATGAATTTGAAAAAGAAAATGGATTTAGAGACCACTTGGGGGATGGGGAAAGGGAAAGAACCGTAATACTCCAGGAAGTGAAGGCCAGTATTAGGGTAGTTGTATGAATAGAGAAGGGAATCGTGGATCTGAGAGATGCTGAGGATCCAACAACTGAATGGATTCAGGGGGTGAGGGAGAGTGAAGAGTTGAGGATGACACCTAGGTTGCTAGTCTGAAGTTCATAGTAAATGGAACAATGGTGGTTTGCTTGACAGAAATAAGAGAAATCAGTAGAAACAGATTTAGAGGGAAATAATGATTTGAGTTTGATACATATAAGTTTGGGATGCCTGTGAAATATCCAGATGGAAATGACAAGCAGGGAAAAATGAATATGTAGACTTGGGAGTCATCTGAATAGAAATGATATTTGAATCCACATGAGCTGATAAAAACTCACCAAGACAAGTAAATCCACACTTATAGAGCAGGATATAGATGAAGAACCCGCAAAGGACACTTGACCCCTCCCTCATTTGATAGGTAAAGGGGTAAAAAACCCCTACTGTGGCAAAGCAGTGCCATAAAAAATCAAAAATGGAAAGAATATTCAGAAAGAAAAGGGGTTAACATTGTCACAAAAAATGAGGACTGAGAAAATGTCACTAAACTTAACAATAAAGAAATCACTAGTGTTGTTCTAGAAGGCAAGTTTCAGTTGCATAGGAGGGACAGAAAACAGACTGCAAAGAGTTGGGAAGTGAGTGGGAAGCGAGAAAGTGGACACCGGGCATAAATAACTTTTTCTAGGAGTCTGGTCTGTAAAAGGAAGAAGAAATGTAGGTCAAGTGAAGATTTTTTGTTGCTGTTGTTTTAAAAGTTTTGGTAAGACTGGGGCGTGTTTGAAGATAATGGAAGGAGAACATGACAATTAGGGAGAAAGGGGATAATTGAAGGAGTAAACATCTGGAGCTAGGATCAAGGATGCAAGTAAAGCAATTGGTCTTAGCAAGGAGGACTAACCTTTTCCTCTAAGGTGATTTCAAATGTAAAGCTGGGGATAAGATGGAGCTTGTGAACAGATGTCCTCAATTTTTTCTATCCCAGGTTATAAAAGTACGGTACATATTTATGAGAGTCATGCACTTAGACTTTCATAAACAATAACTGATATAATAATTCAACAAAATATGAGAAACTCTCAGATTTCAGCACAACTGTCCTAAAATGTAGGCTGCAAAAAATATTCCCTTTTAATCTCTACAAATGTCATATCACTTTTTAAATTTATGTTCTTATGCATTTGTTGCTCTAGGGAAAATTACTTATGAACATAATTCAAGAGCAAAATGACCCCATAGTCTCACAGAATCAATTCAACTTCTTACATTAAAAGGAACAGAGATATAGATGCTCCAAAATGATAATCCAAAATTTACATATGGTCCTGAAATTTGTTTTTGAACTTGTATTTTAGTGTGGGGAAACTTAATGTTCTAGGGCTTTACTTTAAATAAAGTTTAAAAAAAAAGTCAAAAAGTCACAGTGTGCCACAGACATGCTACAGGAGGAAAAGGAATGTAATTCAGGTTCCCCTAATTTATACCTTCCTAACCCAATATTTCTCTGTAACTGACTTAATGATGGGAAAAGACTACTCTGCAACAGGGTCAAGAAATGCCTAGTCTCAAACCTTTCCTGGAGACATGGTGGGGTATCCAATCTGTACCTCTGGATTCTGGGCTGCAGGGCACAGGATAATCCTGTTTTGTTCCTTACAGGCACAGTATAGTCCTGAAGACCCCTTGGGAAGACTACCTTCAGTTTCTATGGAAAGACCCAGAGAAGAGAGACTTGAGATGAAGAAAGACAACTGAATTTGGGGAAGGAGAATGCTTGGAAAAATTGAGAACATGAAAATGAATAATCTCAAAGTCCTGATTTGACCTCGGGCTTTGGTGAAAGAAGGTTGAAGAAGGAATAGCAGGATCAAGGAGTAATGAACTGAAGACAAAGCCTCAAGCAGAAGGACTGAAGGAAAAGGAAAAGAAGGTAACTAGCAAGGCAAGTTAAAAGAAAAGGTAAATGGAAAAAAACTGGAGGGTAAAGCAAATTAGCAGGGTAGACTGATAGGCGGGACAAAGTGGTGAAACAGAAGGGGATGGTTGTGAGGGAGATGGGGGTTGGGGTGTTGTAGCTTTGAATGAGTTGTTGATATTTTAAAAAAGGAAGATGGCTTAGACTGTCAAACTATTAAGAATGAAAAATGTCCTTAAAGGATTGAGCCAGGAGTTTAGAATGAGATATAAAAAATCACAAATGATATAAAAACATCAACAACTGCCCAATAATGAAAATCTCTATCAAGATGGACAACAGAGCTTGTATCGGGTATTACATGTTTGTATTTCTGCCATAGTCAACTGAACATTATTTTATCTGCTCCACAGTTCTTCCTCCTAGAAGAAGTGAAGGGACTCTAGGAACATCACTGCACACTCCAGAGTGTTAAGGGCAATGAAGTATTCCCAAAGGAAAGAGAAACAGGGCTTCAATGGGGAGAGAAAAAAGAGGTCAAAGATAGAAGAGGGGAAAACTTGACTTATGTGGAATTTAGAGAATGGAAGTGTCTGTCACATGATGAAGGGAAAGAAAAGGAAAGTTGTACATTTAGAACTAAAAATATTTTTATTCCTAAAAAGGAGGAAGTTGAGTGCTCTGAGGAAGATGTAGCCGCCTGTGCTCCTCTAAGGAATTATATAGTAATCCTATAGAGCTATACAGTGAGAGATAATCCAGTAAGCATCAGAGGACGAAAAGAAGAATGACAGTAGTTGGTGATCTCCTATTTATGGGATACTGAGGAAATGTATATTGATATGAAAACAACAGAAATGTCTACTGTCTTTATGGGGCAGATATCCAAGACAAAACAGAACCTTTTAAATCACATTAAAATGAGTAACTATTATCCACTTCTGGTAATTCATGAAGGATAGGTAGAAACCAAATAAGTATTGCCAAAGACTGTGAAATCATGGCCAAAAATTGAAGACCACTGACTGAGAGGGATGCAGAAAAGAAAAACTGCTTTGTGAAGTGAATATCTGGCTAGGAAGACACTGGCTTAAAATCCAGGAATAATGTGTCTTTTAGATCGTTCCCAACTCTAAATCTCTGTGATTGTGTGACCTTTGCAGCATATGTGAGCTGAAGCAGATTCCTAGGGAGATCACCAGTAAGGATCTGGTCAGGCCCAGGGTCTCTATTATATAGTAGTCTGGTCCAGATCAGAATTATCAGGGCAATGTCCAAAGATTTTTAGAAAGCCTCTAAACCAAGTATGCAACATTAATATAACAATTATCACAGAAACATACCCTTTTCATTTGTGTTATATTTATGTTCATTGCCCCAGTGAAAACTCATATCTTTGATTAGAATTACAGAACTTCAGAGTTGGAAGGGACCTCAACGACCATCTAATCCAACCCATAAGCAAAAAAAAAAAAAAAGAAAGCCCATTGTAATATACCCAATATCCAGTGTCTACTTAAAGACCTCCAAGGACGGGTAATCCACCACCTCTTGAGGTAACCTCTTCAGTTTCTGCAGTGTTTTCCATAGTTCCTTATTTAGAAGCCAACAATGGCTCTTTGTAATTGTATTGCACAATTTGCATCGTAAGGAAGTTTTCTTACACTGAGCTAAAATTTGCCTCTCTGGAATCCACTGATACTGGTTCTGTTCTCTGGAACCTAAGAGAACAACTCTTAACTACAGTTCCATGTGACAGCCCTTCAAATACATGAAAGCAGTATCCTTTGTTTCCCTTTCCCTCCTACCCCACCCCCCCAGGGCTTCTCTTCTCTGGGCTAAGCATTCCCAGTTCCTTCAACTGTTGCTTATATGACACACACTCAAGTCCCTTTACCACTCAACTAGCCATCCCCCAGTTTATTCATGTCTGGACTATGGTGCTCAGAACTGAAAACAATACTCCAGGTGAAGTCTGACAAAAGCAGAATAAAATGGGACTTTCCTCTCTATTCCTGGAAGCTATGTTTCTTTTAATGTAGTACAAGAACACATTAGCTTTTTGGGTAGCCACATTATACTGAACTTGCAGTCTACTAAAACTCTTAGAAATTTATCAGAACAACTGTTCTCTATCCAACTCCCTAACCCCATCTTGCACTGGTGAAGATAATTTTTTAGATGCAAGTATCAGACTCTTACTGGATTCTTTTTGGAAGTTGACTGTAATCCAGTGTGTTAACTATCCCTCCCAGCTTTGTGTTGTCTTCAAATACGATGAGCACGCCATCTATGCCTTTATCCAAGTCATTAATAAAAACCTTAAAGAGCACAAGGCAGAGAAACCTGAGGCATTTCACCAGAGAACTAACTAAATCAAAACTAAACCATGAATGACTGAGTCTATCTAGCCATGCAACCGTTCTGAATCCATCTAATTTGTGTTATCATATCATGAAGGTCTTGCCATCTTCTCCACAAATACAGTATGAAATACACTATCAAACACTTCGCTAAAATCTAGGTAAACTATACACACAGCATTCCTCTCATCTACTATTTTAATAATCCTGTCAAAAAAAGGAAATAAGGTTAGTCTGGAATGACCTATTCTTCTTGAAGTCAATGATGGCTCTTTGTAATCACTACTTTCTTTTCTAGATATTCTCCAATGATCTGCTTAATGATCTATCTTAGAGTTTTCCCAGGAACTGAAGTCAAGCTCATTGGCTTGAGGAGCAATGGAGTTTCTTCAGGGTTTTTAAGGCTGACCCCAAAGTGGGCAAAGCTAACATATATTCACTGGCATAGGTTGTTTGGCCCCAAAGTATGCAATTAATTAGTATGGAATCACTTCCTCATAATACTAATAGGCTTAGTTTTGAGGGTTACTGGGCTGTAATAGTCTTCCTATTCAACACTAGAAATGCTTGTGGCATGGTCCTAGAAAATTATGGGGACTGTCTACATATCTGGGACAGTACTTACGAGTCAGTATCAAGTGAAAAGTAGTCATATAGCTTAACTATCCGAGGATGATCCAGTTCTTTGTGAATTCGGTATTCCCTACATGCGTGCCTACAAATGAAACAGAGAATTAACAAGTTATGGTTCTTTACTTGTATTTCAGGGCTATTTTCTAAGTATATCACTGAATCAACCAAAGCAAAAACAAAAACAAAAAAAATCACTCATTTACCCCCTCTGTCTGCACCTGCTCCCTTTAATCCTCTGACTTCATTTATCTGACTCCTGCAATATAGACATACAGAAGAAGGGGAAACTCTCCTCAAAGATACTTAAATATGATGTCTGCCATATGGAATTTTGCCTAAATCAGGCTCATTTTCTGAAATGTCACAACAGTTTGAAAAGTTTCTGATGTCTTATTTTGTCAGCCTAAAGAACTGAAAATTGAAGTTTGCTAAAAAGAGGCATTTTTCATATAAATTTAGCCCTTGATTTAGTAGAAATACTTCTAAACATAAGCCAATTTCATATGGTACAGACAAAGGGCAAAAGATTCAGAGGTTGTGCCACACAAAGTCCTTGCTACTTTGCTACAGGAGAGATATGTTTGGTAGCATTTCAAATCACATTTCAAAGTACCACTTGAAGGTGTTTTGCATCATTTGAAACTAACCTTAGACTTCAGATCTAATTGTACTGCTTAGTCTATGAGCCAGTCAAATCTAAGAATGTTGTTACTCACAATTATATTTCTACCACTGAATCTTGGATCCCAAGGATAAATATAAAAATAAATTGGCTGACAACATTCTTCTTGTTTTTTATTTTTGCTTTACTCTGTATTTGTAAAGGGAAATATATTTAGAGTCTCAAAAACAATTGCTTTTATCTGGGCCTTTGGATAAGGCATACTTTTGATTGACATGCAATGACTGTGATTTTCTTTACAAATTTCCCTACTATATAGTTGTTTAAAAATCATTTTTGGAATGTAATGCATAACAATCTATAAATAATTTTCTTCTGTACTCCCAATTCTAAATTTATTTTCATAATTCCTAAAAAAAATCATTCTCAGGATAAACTCTAACTCTCCCCAAATGTCTTCATTCATTTTTATCTCTTTTGCCTACTTCAATCCCAAGCTTCACATTTCTACGCTCAGTGCTACTCCATTTGGGTCATATACCTTACAAATGTGTTACTCTGGTACAAATAGTACTAGAAAAAAGTTTGATTTTACAAATCAGGGAATTTTAGGGATTTAGGGAAAAATAATTCAAAGCCTATATCCTACAGAATATGTCAATAATGCTCCCCCCCATTACATGTGAATCTTTTTTTTTTCCATTTTCAATACTGATATTTTTCTTATTTATTATCATTAGAGAATGACAACACTATCATAATAGACACTTTCTACAATTATTAAGAGAGGTCTTTCACTTCACGGTTAGGAGTTAGTTTAAAAATTAAGCATTCTATAGAGACTATGGCAAAATGTCCAGTATGGATCTCCTTTAGAGTTCAAGGCAGCTTACAGTATTTTGCCAAGACTTCTGGTAAAGAAAAATTAAATTTTGGAAGGTATTATAATTTCAGATTTATGAGGATTACTTGGATATCATTTAGTATGTTATAACAAAACATAACAATGGTTCCTGAGACAAGAAAATAGGATTTCAGAAGAATCACTAACTCTGCTCAAGCTCCCTGTCATAACGGGGATTAGAACACTCTGGCATATATAGCAGCTACTCATGACCCTAGTTTTTCCTAAGTCTCCTCACTCTTTGGCTATGCCTAACAAACTGGGAATAAGAACACCTGAGTGCCCCTGCTTGCATATTTTCCTTCTTTCATGTCTTAGTTACAAACTAGGGTGAAAATAGTTACTCAAAATAAATGGAATAACTGCTTGAAGTTTTGCTTTGAAGAGCTTAATTCAAGAAGCCTGCTGTTCAATCCCTTCATAAATCCAGGAGCTAAAGGTAACAATTATACTTATTTTCCCTAGTATCTTGATTTACAAGATACTACAGATGCTGAGATTTTCTTTGACTAAACTCTAAGTGTTTTAGCCTTTAGGGCCATACCAAGATTGGGCCCCAGAGTCAACTGATAAAGAATGACCAAGGTAAGTAAATGATACATATCATCACCCAAAGAACACAAAAGAAAAATGGATCAGAAAGGTATTTTTAGTCGGTAGAAAATAACAATGACAATCTGTTCTGATACCCTCAAGCACTGTGGAATCTTAGAACTGCATGTGGCCTCACTCATAATTGGTCAGAAGAATACATAGTTCTAGTCTCTGATTTATCCTCAGTATCCATTGATAAATACATATTTAGCCAGTGGAATGTATTTATTTATGTGACATGTGCTTTCAATGGAATGGCTCATCAAAATCACCTGGGCTACATCTGCCTTCCTAGGATACGCTGGAGGCTGGATGCATTCAAGCAGGATGTAAAAAAGGGTGGACTCTGTGCATCAAAGTAAGTGTGGTGACACAACTACTTTGATAGATCCATAGGTTTCACAAGCCACCTCAAATATCACTGTTACTTTTCTAGTGCTTCATTTACCACTACAAAGCAGAAATGTTTATACAAAAAACCTGACCTGTCAAAGGCAGCTTTCTGTTAGTGTTCAGCACCTACTGTCAGTGTTTTGTCTAGTTTAATATACCACCAAATTTTAAATGTTAAATCTGATAGGCAGTCTAACAACAAATTAAATCTGCCTAATCTCCAAAGCAAAACTAATTTACAATGTCTCCAATCTTGTAGAAAGAAAGAGAAAACAGCCAGAGCCTGACACTAAAGGAACAAAGAATTACAAGATTTAATACATAACAACTAACTTGAAAAGATCATACTAATACCGTTCCCTCAGGCCCCCATTTTAGTGTGGTATACTCCCCTCGAAAGAAAAGAACCAAAAGATTAACAGGATACAAACCTTCACTAAGTCACCAACATAAAGCATTCAATCTACTGTACTGTTTGTCACTATACAGAATCACAGGATCACGGACAATGAAGATAAGTAGTTGCTTCAAATGCATTACTATAATGGCATTAAAGGCACAGATCCTATAATATAGCTTCTCTGTATATATCTGCTTCCTCATGGTCCCATTCATTTGCCTTTGAACAGCAGACAGGGTACCTCCCATCTACTCTGACTGTATCTTGAATGTATAAAATTATTTACACCTTGTATCCTCCATTAGAATGTGAGATCCTTGAGAACAAGGACTGCTTTTTGCCTTTCATTATATCCCCCTGTGCTTAGCACAGTGCGTAGCATATATTAAGCAGGCAATGCTTGCTGACTGACTGGAGCTTCTGATGATTGAATGACTTAGAAAGAGAAATCTGTCCCTAGAAAGTTCACTTACTTGTGGTAATTCTCCTTTTTTTCATCTCTCCAGTTTTTATTTAACTGGTGAATTTTCACAGCTACATATCTCTGTTCTGTTAAATCGAATGCCTACAAAGAGAAGGAAATTTAGATCATATTCTGGCAGAGAAATTCAAACCAATTCTACAGGCAGGGGCAACTAACTTGAAGCTCTTGTTTTTCACTTCAATATAATTAAAGATCCAAAATATTTAAATGACTCTGGCAGCAGACGGCACCTCATTATAATACCCATTTATTTCAGAAGAGCCTCCAACTACTTTAAATTTCTGATCTGATAATTCAGAACTATCCAAACATAATAGCATCACATGATCTAGAAAACACAAACATCACATAAACCACGAATGGACAACTCATAATCAAATGGTTATTGTCAAACAACCCTTGAGAGAGCTAAAACTGGGATGTCAAGTGCTCAAATAGTTATTCCTCTATCACTCTTATGAAGCTGGGGAATGAAAAATACTACCCATTAGGCAACAAACAGAATAGAATATTCAATCATTAAATGTCCTCTCTCAGCACAGTTCCTTGAGGTAAGATTATCTGGAAAATGATTCTACAATTTGTTAACCATTATTGAGGTAAGAGACAGAAAGGACAGAGACCAACCCTACCCCTTCAGATCACATCATAAAATAAAGACTAAAGAAGCAGCTTTAAAACCCTTAAACTACAAGTAAGTTTGACTCAAACACTGTCTAGGAGCAACTGGTACTATGGCTCTTCTCTAGGATTGCTAAGAGAGGAAAGGCATACTTCCACCAACAAATGGCCCTGTTGATGAGTTTAGAATTAACAAGAAGGTTTCACATCATAAAGTGAGAAGTATATGTGACCTCTCACTATCTTAATAGATGTGATCCTGCAAATCACACTTTAGAATCCGAAATCATTTGCACAAGGGAAGTTCTCTCTCCTACAAGTAGGGAATCCTACAATATTCCTTGTAAGGTATGACTAATGATTCATTAGTATCTGTTTTGCAAATTCAGATTTAATATAATAGTTTTTCTCTAAATAGGACCTATGTAAAGCTCTCAGAAGTGTTGCCTAGCATTAGGTAATTACATGCTAGCAATTCTTACTTTCTGCCACTTTGCCTTTCAGTACTATGCACACTTTGTACTACCTAGTAACGGCCTATAAAAGCACTGGTACCATCTTTTAACTGTCCAAGTAGTGGCTCTTGGCAATGTCCCGATAGAAGAAAACTGTAAACGTGAACTATGTTGATCCATTTTAAGTATCATACGAAGGGAAAATGAAGGCGGTACCCATAAATAAAAAAATTTTTGATAAATCAATACAAGTAATTAAAAAAACCCTTCTACTTTGAAACCTTCACGATAACTTATGTAAAGCCTACAGTATACTATATTACATATGTTATTATTATACTATGTTATAAAGTAATATAGCATTAAGTGGGGGGGTTTTAGGCTTTAGAAATTATTTACCTGATTATATTAATGCCCATTTGCACAGCAAATTACAACCAAGTAAAACATCACTTGGTTGTCTTAAATGTTGGCTCTGGCCAAATGTAAACATCAAAAGTTAACCATTTTAAGGTTCAGTGAGTTTTTCAGTTTGAGTGCTTCCCATATCTACCAAGTTCTTCCATATAGCTAGGCATCAAGAATATATATCACCACAAAAAAAGTTATCTACAGTTGTTGGAAAGCACTTGTGAAACACTAAAAATCTGACTTTGATGATCTTGACAGGAAGAAGAAAAAAAATCAAAGAACTAGTTCCAACTTCACAATTATTTGCTAAGATCAAACATTAACAATGGCTTTCCTCCTATAGACCTAGATTTATTAGTGAAGACTTAGAGGGGAAAGAATATCTGAGTGAGGATTTTTAAAATTTCCCAATGTTCAATGCCAGCCATTCTGTTTTGGAGTCAAACATCATTTTAATACAATATTAAGTAACATTTGATATAGTATCCATGATGCTCACAGGTGCTTTGCCTGCTCAAGATATTTGAACAGTTCTTGGCTAATGACCCATTATAAACGTTTGGCCAAATCAAGTATTTAGTAATGTATCTATAGGCACAGTGGTCCTGTGACAAGAGAGGCTCAATTAACCTGCTTTGCATCAAGACACACTAAATGTGAGGGCTAGTGAGCAATATGATTCAGAAAGATTAAAGTCTGGTCAAAATAAAGAACTTGATTTTTAGATCAGAACTGCCTATGAAGCATTCTTGAAGTTTCTGTTCATGTACCAAAAACCTGATGTTAACTGTCTGATTTCACTATTTAAAAAATTCTCCAAGTAGGCAGGACATTTATTTAATTTTAGTTTAGCCATCATTTACAGTGGCCAAGTTCCCAACACTTACCTTGTAAACTTCACTGAAACCGCCTCTACCCAATAGATGTAACAACAAGTATCTGTCATTTAGCGTTGGATGATCTTTAAATCTATGGAAACAAAAATACTGTTACTTCTTGAGGGCAAGAACTATGTAGTCTCCATGCTCTGCAAAATTCACAAAAAATATAATATAGAAGGGGTATTAAATATTAAGTATCTTTTGGAAGCATCTTAATATTTAGCACAAAACTCATTTTTGTAAAGAAATTATAATTCAAAGGACTAGCAAATACCTATATACAATCCTTTGGGGTTGACTCAAAGAGCTACCCAGAACTTATTATGACAAAAAGGGTATCAATGAAATTATATTTTTAAATTTTCAAACAAAGCACTCTGGGAACCTTGAAGCACTACATAAACATCAACTGTTCTCCATTACACATGGAATGCTATTAAAACTGCCTCTTGTTTTTGTTTGTTTGTTTTTTCTAAATAAAATAATCTGATTGAAAAAATAAACAGTCACTGGCAAATAGAAAACAAGAAAAGGTTCCACTTACTACTTTTTATCTTGGAACACTTGGAAACTGGACTGCCCCAAAATGCCTTCCTTATTTAAAAATTATCTGGTTCACTGGTAAAGCAGAGACGCATGAACCAGTAATTGTCATAAAACTCATAGTTTAGAATCAGAAAAAAAATGAGAAAAGGAACAAATTTTAAGTAGAAGCTATTGAATTCTATCATAAACTACATTCCATAACAATTCCAGACCTTGGATTTCTCTAAAAGAAAAGTTAAGTATTTGCCCACAATACTGGTGTGTAGTCAATGACACTGTGTACCCAATGACACTTTTACTTTGTTCACAGAACCACAGAAACTTAGACCTGAGTTAAAAGGTTATGAACGCAGCATGGTACCACTGGCTTTGAGTCAAAAGATCTAAATCCCACCTCCAATACTTCAACTCCCCATGAACTTCTTTGGCACTCAATTTTCTCATTCATAAAATGATGAGATTGGATTAGATGGCCTCTAAGGTCCCCTCTAAGGTCCCCTGATCCTAGCTGAATACCCTCATTTTACAAATAAGGGAAATGGCAGCCAGGGAATCAAGTTAAGGGCAAAGCTTGGTCATATACTCAGGTCTCCTGATTGCCAGAGGAGAGCTCTTTCTGCTGGAATAAGCTGTGTCTGAAAAGCTGCTCATGATCAAGTTACTCTCTATATGACTTATGTGCAAAGTGAACTGTCTATGCTTACCAGCAAAGATGCTCTACTCACCACAAATAAATATGTACATATGACAATTTCTTATCTACCGGTAGCTCTTTAATCAAGTTGTCAAAGCCTATAACAGTCACACCATTTCAGAAATTCCAACTCAATGCCAGAATGTGTACAAACATTCCTAAAAAGTGCTTACTGTGAATTATCTTCATTATGTATCCTTTTTAATTCCCTGATATGTAGATTTCTAACTCTCTCTAGCCTTTCCAGCTCTGCCTGGATTTCTGCTTCCTCCTGAAATGAAATTAAAAGGAAAAGATAACTTAGAACTGTAAGTACTTTCGTTTTCACAGCCTTTTTAAAAAAAAGTAACCACAGATAAATATTTCACTTATTCTTCAATATAAGATAACAATCTGGTTGGCACAAAGAAAAGAATTACTTCATGAGCCAGACTTTAGTAGGGACTTTAGCTCCCCCAAGGGAAAAAAAATCTGGGCGATTTTTATAAATATTACAGACAAAAATTCAGTCAGTGAGGTTAGACTTAGAACCTTATTTGATGTCACTTCTATCAAAGATCCAATGGCAAAAAAATGGGAACCAAAATATTAAATTAGAAAGTAACTTTTATTATAAGCAACAGCACACATCATAAGCAAATTATTTTAAAGACTCTATGAACAGCTAGTTACTAGATACTGAAGGTGAATTATTCGTATTTTTTAAACACCCACATAAGTCATCAGTAGAATGAGCACACAGAACCTGTGATATTCAGGGAATGATATTAAATCCATTTTCTAGTCTTACTTGCTCAAGAATGAATACAATTGCTGCTACTTTTTTGAAATCAATGAAAGAACTGTAACATAATTTTAAAACCAATATGCTTCTCTGAATACTTAATTTTTACCTTAGGGAACCCTAATGGCAATGGACAGAGTTTATATTAAATTACCACTTATTTCCAGACAATCACTAAACTTTAGAATAGTTCTCAAATGGGACTGAGGATAGGAAACTCAAAAACTAAAATGAATTCATCAGAAGATAAAAAGAAGAGAAGGCATTTTTAAAACTTCAAAAGTAAGATCTTTAGTGTTCCCTGAAACTCTTAATGAATTAATGTGAAACTATGAACACAGTACAGAACTAACTCTTACCTTTTTAAGATGACCTAGTCTGAGTTTAAAGATTTCTTCTTGTTCATGGTATTCAGCTAATGTTAACCTGGGAAAATAAGAAAAGAATTTCCAGTCAGTTGGTTGCCTATAATTATAAAAAATTGTGCCTGTTTACCTGAAAGTAGCAAGATGTATGGCAAAACATATTCAGTTGTGAATAAAATATAATCAGAGGAAGGATTATTATGCAGTTCAGATAGCCTAGGGAAGAAAATTTATAATTTGGAGGTTCAACTTTCAAGTAAAAAGTCTAATTTTATCATATATGAAAATGATGCGGAAAAGTTTCTTGGATCACAGTTCCTATAAAATCAGTCCTATGTCTCATATGCCACTTTTTTTTTGTTTTTTGATATAAATTTATTTATTTTTAGTTTTCAACATTTACTTCCACAAGATTTTGAGTTTCAAATTTTCACCCCATCTCACCCCTCCCCCACCCCAATATGGCATGCATTCTGAATACCCCTTCCCCTAGCCTGCCTTCTCTTCTATCTCTCCCCCACTTCTGTCATCCCCTTCCCCTTCTATTTTCCTGCAGGGCAGGATACACTTCTGTACCCCATTTCTGTATTTCTTATTTCCCAGTTGCATGTGAAAACAATTTTTTTTAAAAAACATGTGTGTTTAAAACTTTGGGTTCCAAATTTTCTCCCTTCCTCCCTCCCCACCACCCATGCTCATTGAAAAGGCAAGCAACTCAATATAGTTATACATGTGCACATGCAAAACACTTCCATAGTAGACATGTTGTGAAAAACTAACTCTATTTCCCTTAATCCTATCCTGCCCCCCATTTATTCTATTCTTTCTTTTGACCCTGTCCCTCCTCAGAAGTATTTGCTTCTGATTACCCCTTTCCCAATCTGCCCTCCTCTCTATCATCCCCTGCTCTCTCCCCTTCCCCCTTATTTCCTGTAGGGTAAGACAGATTTCCATACCCAATTGAATGTATGTTATTCCCTCCTTAAGCCAAATCCTATGAGAATAAGATTCACTGATTCCCCCTCACTTTCCCCCATTTCCCCTCCACTGTAAGAGCCTTTTCTTTTCTGTTTTTTGTGAGATAATTTACCCTTCTACCTCTCCCTTTCTTCTCCTAGATAATCCTCTCATCCCTTAATTTTATTCTCCAGATATGACCCCTTAATCTTCAACTCACCCTGTGCCCTCTATCTATCTATCTATCTATCTATCTATCTATCTATCTATCTATCTATCTATCTTATCTATCTACATACATATAATTTTCCCCCCTCCAACTACCCTAATACTGACAAAGGTGTCATGAGTTATAAATATCATCTTTCCAGGCAGGAATGTAAACAGATCAACCTTAATAAGTCTCTTATGATTTCTCTTTCCTGTTTACCTCTTCATGTTCCACTTGAGTCTTGTTTGAAAGTCAAATTTTCTATTCAGCTCTGGTCTTTCCATCAAGAATGCTTGAAAGTTCTCTATTTCACTGAATGCCCATTTTTTTCCCCTGAAGGATTATACTCAATGATTCTTGGTTGTAATCCTATATCCTTTGCCCTCCGGAATATTATATTCCATGCCCTGCAGTCCTTTAATGTAGAAGCTGCTAAATCTTGTGTTATCCTGATTGTTTCCACAATACTTGAATTGTTTCTTTCTGGCTGCTTGTAATTTTCTCCTTGACCTGGGAACTCTGGAATTTGGCTACAATATTCCTAGGAGTTTTCCTTTGGGATCTCTTTCAGGAGGAGACCGATGGATTCTTTCAATTTCTATTTTGCCCTCTGGTTCTAAAATATCAGGGCAGTTTTCCTTGATAATTTCTTGAAAGATGATGTCTAGGCTTTTTTCTTGATCATGGCTTTCAAATAGTCCAATAATTTTTAAATTCTCTCTCCTGGATCTATTTTCCAGTCAGTTGTTTTTCCAATGAGATATTTCACATTTTTCTATTTTTCATTCTTTTGGATTGTTTACAGTGTCTTGTTCTCATAAAGTCACTAGCTTCCAATTGCTCTATTCTAATTTTTAAGGAAGTATTTTCTTCAGTAAGCTTTTGGACTTCCTTTTCCGTTTGGCCAATTTTTCTTTTTCAGGCATTCTTCTCCTCATTGGCTTTTTGGACCTCTTTTGCCATTTGGGTTAGGCTATTTTTTTAAAGTATTATTTTCTTCAGTATTTTTTGGGTCTCCTTTAGCAAGCTGTTGACTTTTTTTCATGATTTCTTGCATCACTCATTTCTCTTCCCAGTTTTCCTCTACTTCTCTTACTTGCTTCTCAAAATCCCTTTTGAGCTCTTCCAAGGCCTGGGACTGATTCATTTTTCTTGGAGGCTTTGGATGTAGGAGCTTTGACTTGTTGTCTTCTCTTGTATTTTGATCTTCTTTGTCACCAAAGTAAGATAATACAGTCTGACTCTTTTTGCGCTGCTTGCTCATGATCCCAGCCAATTACTTGAGTCTTAAACTCTGTTAAGGTAAGAGTCTGCTTCCAATGTGGAGAATATATTGTCCCAAGCTTGGGGGATTTATACAGCTGTTTTAGAGATACTTGTAGGGAACTGTAAATTTTCAGTTCTTGCAAGGTGGTATGATAAGGGGATGAGGTGTTTAGTCCATTCCTGGCCCGTGCTCTGGTCTATTAGTAACCACAAGCACTCCTTTCAGTACTGGAACTGTGAGGAAGGTTTCCTCTCCTCTGCCACTACAAGCTCCACCGTGCCAGCACTCCTCCTCGCCCCAGGACTGCCGCCCAGAACTGTGACCCAGATCCAAGCACGGGCAAAAGCAAGAGATTCCTGCCTCAGCACTGGCAAAGAGATCCCTGCAATCCCTCTCTGATCAGCCACTGGATTCCCCCTCAGTCTGTGGGCTGGAAGCTCAGGACGCAGCCACTGCCCCAGCGCCCATGCTCTGGCTCTGACCTAGCTCCTCTCTCACTGCAGAAACAGACTTTTCCCACTGACCTTCTAAGCTGTCTTCAGCATTTGTGGGTTGAGAGGTCTGGAAGCCGCCACATCTGCCCGAGATTCAGTCCTCCTGAGGCCTGCTGCAGGTTAGCTGTGGCCTGTGCGCCCATGCCGAACTGCGCTCCTCTCCCAGACCAGCACGATATACCTTTCTGATCAACCATCCAGATTGTCTTGGGCTGGAAATTTGGTTCACTCTGTCTTTCTGTGGGTTCTGCTGCTTTAGAATTTGTTTAGAGCCATTTTTTATAGGCATTTGGAGGGGTTTGGGGGAGAGCTCAAGGAAGTCACTGCTTTCATTCCGCCATCTTGGCTCCACCCCCCGCCGCTTTTGTTAAAAGTATGAAAAGATATCAAATATGTAACTTTCAGAAATTAAAAACCTAAAAAATTTTCAACATGTGCAACAATATTCCAAAAGTTTTGAATATTCTGAGCCACTTATTCATCTCTATCTTGGTACTACATAAAATATCCTAAAGGGATTATTAACACAGGCCAAGCCCTCTTAATATTACAATCTATCACTCCTAACCTCAGTTAAACCCTACTCCTCATTAAATTCATTTTCCATACTTCAAAAATATACATACCCACCAAAAATCAAAGTGGTACACACTTGACTTTTTAGTCATATTCTCAAATGGCAAATTTTTGCATTATAGGAATAAATTAAAAGACAATTGTAACATTTCTCTATTCATTCCCACAAAACCCCATCAATCTAAAACCATCAAAGTAATGCAGGACAGGACGCAGAGCCAAGGCAGCAAAGTAGCAGGAAGCATTACAGCTGAGGTCCCCTCCACAAAACACCAAACAAACCTAAAAAATGCACCAGACCAAATTCTGATGTTGAAATCCAGAAAAAGTGTGACGTTTATCCAGCCTAAGTCAGCATAAGGAGACAGCGAAGCCTGCAGACACTGGCTTTGGAGATGAGATCAGGTCGGGAACATGCTCAGAGCACTCAAGTGCCCATATGGAAGCTGAGCACCAAGGCAAGAAGAGGAGGCCCCTATATCCAGGCACCACTACACCCACAACATTTTAGGAAATGGTGCCAACTTGTCAGTCAATAAACATTTATTAAGCACCCACACTATGCCAGGCATTATGTTAAGTGCTGGGGACACAAATACAAATATTTTGAAAAAGAAAGACAGTCTCTGCCCTTGAGGAACTTACAATCTAATGGGGAAAGACAATACACAAAAGGAAGCTGAAAAGTGGTAATGGGGAGAAGAGGTAACTAGCTCAGGGACTGGAGAAGTTCAAAGTCCAAAAGAATTCAAAATGCAGCCAGGTGGTAAATGAAGCTAGTAGCTTTGTTGCCCACTAGGAAGTCCCAGGTCACAGATCAAGGGCAGCCTAAGAAGAAGGACCTGTGCCCAAGGGTGGCATTCCCAAATCGAGAGGCCTGGGGAAACTTCCGAAGCAAGTAGTAATGAAATGCATCATTCCCAGGAGCAGTGCAGGGTCTTAGTTTCATCTAGGTCAGCTTGCAAAGAAATAACCAGGTCAGAAATAACCAACAAACATCAGGACAGTCCACAATTTTGTCACTCTGAACCAAGTTTTCCAGCTAGTTGATAAGGGATGAGACCAGCAGCATTCCACTGCTGCTTGGATCCAACAACCTACTTGGGGAGAAGGAAAGGGGTGAATTACAATTTTGCCCTGGATTAGACCACTCTAGGAGCACTGAAAATTTATAGGTCCTTAGCCTGTTCTTGAGATCCTGGAATAACACAACATTCAGTGCTCCAAGAAAGTAGCAACAGGACCAAACCAGATACTCTCTCCAAAAGTGCATCAAGGCCCAACCCTAATATCAATTCCAAAGTTAGGAAATGGGCTGGAAGAATGAGCGAAAAGAAAAATAATTTCATTATAAAAAGCAATTATGATGGCAGTGAAGCTAAAAGACACAAACTGAGAAGAAGAAAATGACTCCGAAACACATACAAGCAAAATTTCAGAGAAAATTACAGCTTGGACATAAGGTCAATTAGAATTCCTGGAAAAGATAAAGCAAGAGGTTTGGGTTTTTTTTTTTAAGTTTTTACAAATGAAATGAGAGTGCTTATAGAAAAAAA